GCCAGAGATACTCCAAAATCTATGACCTTGTGCTCAATGTATAAACTGGGGACAAAGCTGGCCAGGGGCTACTGCTCACATTGGTTGGCAAATGGTAAGCAATTGCATTGTGAATCACTTGTTTTGCATATTTTAATTCTTTTTCTTCCTTCCCTGACCCATTAAGAAGCCTGTGTCTCAACCCATGAATTTTCTGGTTTTTATGATTCTCTTTCCCATCCCACTGGGGAGGGAGGAGGTGGAGTGAACAAGCAGCTGTGCAGTGCTTAGTTGCTGGCTAGGGTTAAACCATGACAGCAACCAACACATAATTAGATTACAAAGGTCTACAAGCCATAATCAAAGGTTTTGTAGATACTATAAAATAATTTTCCCATTGCATGTCAGTTTCATAAAAAACATCAGAACTAAACTAATACCACCTTGATGGCTAACAGTCCCAAAGGCAATACTGTATCTTTTCATAATATGAGAATGGTCCAACATAAATCTTTTGGGCTTAGGTCATAAAAGTGTACTGTAAAATGTCTCTTCCTCAGAAGGATTCACTCAACAGGCTAGTCATTTCTAATAAGTCAGTGCTGTGGAAAAGAAACAGTGCCAGAGTTTCCTGTTACAAAGCACATGTGCTCCACTATAAAAAAAGAATGACATTTCAAAAGAAAAAATGCTGCACTAGATATTAAAGATGTAAATGACAAATAAATAATCAAAGTATCCATGACAAACAATTTCAAAATTTATAGAAAGTGCAGGAAATACCTTCTCTGGTTTAAGTTAAAACAAAATAAAATCAAAGTTTAGTCCTGGTAGAAAGCTCCTCTGCATCCACCCTGCAGTCTCTCTCTAGTGTGTTATGTGCACATATAGACTTTACACAGTACATCTGTCCACACACACTGCAGATAGTTTTAATTTTTGATCCCAGAAAACTTGGTCTTGCTTCTAACTTATTGACCTTAAAAATACTTGCACTACATGAATTTATATTAGGCCAATAGTTATTGGAGACTGGCTGTAACAGCTACTCTATGTACCCACAAATACTGACAAACAAATTACTGCAACCTAAGAATAAGATCTGAGTATTTTATTTTCATTTAAAAATGAACTACACAGAAGAAGAGTTATTAACATTCCTGGGTTTTATTTGGAGGATTTGGGTTGGTTTTAGGTAATCTGTGGCCATGGGTGTTGGCTTTAGGAAGGATGTCAGCTGACCAGAGATACTGACAGAAAGAAAATAAGTATCAACATAAAACGCCAATACTGAGCTTCCTACCAAAAACTTTTCCTGCCAGGATGTCGAGAAAGAAGCCAAAGAGACTTCTAAACCAGGAAATGAAAAACATTTTGCATCCCTACTACCAGGTAGCATACATGCCTAGGAGCTACAACTGTAATTTTTAAATTAGATTCAGCACAACATTGTTACAGCAGTTGGGGAAAAGAACAAATAACAAAGATAAACAAAACACTACATTCCCCCACCACACTACTTTTAAAGCAGCAAGTTACAAAGGAGATGAAGATTTCAGAATGAACTTCAGCTATTTCAAAATGGTCTGGAGGCACAAAACAATCACAGGCATAATTTAATGCTCTATATTCACACCTATTTTCAATGTCAGTAGCAGTACCTGAAAACATGAACGCTTCTGCTCTGCCTCAGCTACTCATCACTACTACATTGTGCCAGCAATTTCTTTTCTTTCAGAACTGCTGGCTGAGGTGGTTTTGCCCTTACTCTTTGAACTGTTTCACTGAAGAAGTGCAAAGTTAGCTTTAGTATTTTGAAACTTTGCGACTTTGACTGCAGTGGGTTTGGAAGCCAGCAGCTTAGACAGCAGATCCAAGGGGGCTGTAACCTTCAACAGAAAAGACAAATGGAAAGGAGCACCAGGAGCTAGGTTAAGGGCTATAACCTTTCTAGCTATGTTACCGCAAGAAAAACATGCTTGTGGTCCTTTCAGAGATTCGTTTTATAGTCTGCTTTCTTGCACTTTACTAAAATATGGATGATGCTACTTAACTACAGATTTTTCAGCTCAGCTTATGTGGCAACCATCTGTCTCCCACGGGCATATTGCAGACTTTATACTGAGGCTTCTTATTTTCCTGGAATGCAGCTCAACAGCCACAACGTTAGAGATCATACCTCAGATATTCAAGATGAACTTCACAGAAATCTTGAAAGTGGACTCTGCATCTAGCTTTCTAATTACTGCACTTAGTACAAGACCATCAGTGCCCACGTTGCTGTATTTTTTAGTCATAGACCCTTTGCATTGCAGCTTCCTTTTTATTCAAGTTGCAGAAATCAACTTCACACAGTTCTGTGGCCAATAAAAAAACATGCAGTGCTTTTCTTAGCTACACAGAATTCCACGTGTGCCAGTGTGACTTCTGATTATCAGCAGCCCTTAGCACAGATTAGCACCACTGCTGGGCACTTAACTGAAGAAGTATGCAGGGTCATTCTAAGTAAGAGACTACTCTTGTCAATGCCGTAATGTCACTCATCTTAGGTTTTCAGGTTACATATTCAGCTTTTCTTTACCAAGGCTTCCTCCAAACACTACAGAGACTGGGAAATTCATCCCATTTGTTACTTGCAAATGGTTTATCCGAGGTACAGAGTAGCTACACAGCAAGTAACACACAACAATGGGCAAATATCCAGGCTGGTTCAGCAAACACAAGGCTGGGTCCAGACAGGGCAAAGCAGACTCCTGCTGCCAGCACCTGCCCAGGAACAGGATGGAAGCTAAAGTCTTTACAAGTAAAGACAGCTCAGCCTAAGTCAGCATTCATGCTCTTGTACCATTTTCTAGGAACAGAAATTTGGTGCACTGGCACTGCAGTGAAATAGGCCTACCTGGTTAATTCAGATATTGCCTGTGCAAGCTTATCATCCTTGAAATCACATTTTGTCCTTAACTCAAACCCTGCAACTCTCTGTGCCTTTAATATACCACATGGAAATCTGCACTGTACTGCTGCCTATCCCTACTGACCACACTATGACAAGACCCATATCCTATAATTGGTGAAATTCCTTGCCAATACCTGCTCATATTTCCTGTAGCCAATAAGCAGGTTCTCACTTCTTTACTGGGCTGTTCAAAACAGATGCACAGGGGTCCCTTGGAAACTACAAAGACTTAGCCTAGCATAAAAGTGATACTTCACAAATAAAGTTTTTAATTATTTCTATGCAGAATTGCTGTTTTAATTCTCTAAATTCAATAAAGGACCAAGTACTTTGAGTTAAATTTAGTTTGCTCCTTTTCAATCATCAATCTAACAAACAACAGCCAGCTTTTACTACAGAAACGGCACCTCACATTTTCAAGAAAAACAACCAAAATCTATCCACTACACTAATGGTATTAAAACTGAAGAATTTTACATGTATAAATCTGTCATTAGCATGACACTTTGTCACTGGGAGTGAGTTCTCCCCTGCTCTAAATTTAGGTATTTAAGACAAATTTGCTCACCTTTTTCAAAGTCTGTTTACAAAAAGTTTCAGACACACTTTTGTGAGAATAGGGTAGCAAAGAATCACTTCTTCATATCACCTGAGAATTATTCCTAAACAGGTCTGAAACACCAGAATAAGTGTTCTGCAGCAGGTCTGCAAAACCACAGTAAAACAATACACCTTTATTTAGTGAATTGAGGGCTGGTTTCTTGATTCACACAAAAATCTGAGGAAGGCAGACACAAGGGTTGGGCTGGATGAGTGCTAAAGGTCCGTTCAAATATCGTCAGTATAAAAGGTTGTGCCTTTTTTCAACATGTTACATCACTGCAAAATAAGTACAAGCATTCAATCAACACAACACTAACAAAAACCCTCAAAACAAACCACATTGGAACCTCCCTTTCATTTTAGCAGCAGAAAAACCAACACCACTTCCTTGGCACAAACCTGTCGCTGATTTACAACCTATTCATCACTGAACTTCAGAGCAAGACAGACAGGACTGCTTCAGACCAACAGTCCAGACTCCTGCCTGCCACTACTGAAAAGAGACAACTCTTCCTGTCAAAGATACTGAAATGTGTAATCAAGACTCAAAAACCTTCATTTGATCATAATCCTGAAGACAGACTCATGCAATAAACCCATTTCAAGGACAGTCTTCAAAACAAATGGTCCCAGTTTAAAAACAGATCTAAACCTTTCAGAAACATACAACCCAAAACATGCAATCTCTATCACAGGTATTTGTGGTGATATGGGATTTTTTCCCATTACTATGGTCTTGCAGCATTGTATTTATCCTTTTTTCGAAAGGATTCAAAGAACATTGACTCTTAGTTCCCTCTACATGAGTTCAGAAGAAGGTGACAGAGTGTGACAAGAGTTCTCAGTCATCGTCATATAAAGTTAATGACAGAAAACCAGCAGCCAAAACATTTTCATTGACCTGGAAAAAGCCATCAACCTTTACCCCTGAAAAGGTGGTTCAAAAGCTGAAGCTCAGGAACCTTGTAAGGGAAATTTAGAGATTTGCTGTAACTGATTAAAACAGGTAATTTAAGTAGCACGGCTGCTGTTAGTGCATTTAAGGAAATACAGACCTTGTAGGGAAAAAAGCCACATGCAGACAGTAAACTGATCTCAACACATAGTGGACAAAACACTTCATGACTTTTACTGACACTATACAGTCTTCAGTGTGAGAACATAATTTCTCCAAAATCTGGTCAGCAGACATTTTAGGTGGTGAAAAATTACAATTCCCTGTCCCCCATTTATTAACACTGCTTTGTATTGTAACAGAAGGAAGCTGTACTTGAAATTGTATTTCCTCCCTACTAAAAAATAACAGTAAGCAAAACTCATACATTTAAAGTAGAAAAAACATCATTTTACCCAATCTCAAATTTCCATTAAATCCGTGGTCAATTACAAACTGCAAATTAAAAACACAGCCAAAGGAATAATATATTCCCATAAATTTCCAAGTGGCAGAATTCCTTCTTACCTGTAATTTTAACCTTGTCAAGGTTCTAGTTCAGTGCTGAAAGAATTAGTTTACATTCCTGCTGCCAAGAAGCACGTAACAGAATGACTTGCAAAACCTTGAGATAACAGTACAGGACACAACATCTGCTTTATTTTGGTATTTCCTAGAAAGAAACAAAGGAAATAGTTAGCTACTCCAGATGGCGTACAACAGATTTGTACATTAATTTTTTCATGAATACTACTTTTTCCTAAATAGAAGTGTTTGAACTAAAGCCATGCCTGGATGTGCAAAGACCTTTCAGCAAACTCTCTAAACACCATATTTAAGATTTATGCTAACAAAGAATCAGATTAATATTTTTCTCTATTTCCCTCACCAACACTGACAAGCACTTAAAAAGTCATCAGCCTATTACCTGCCATTCAAGTCCCTAAACTCAGTAACAGAAGGAATAGCTTTTGCATGCCTGCTAGCATCACTGTGCTGTCTTAATTTTATTCACCTACTCAGATGACAGAGTACACTCCTTGAGTGCTTGACAAGACTTAAACCCACCATGTGCAGCATGTGTAATTTGTGAGCTCTTTATTCTGCTTCCTTAGATGCAAAAATGCACGAGAGTTTAAAAAAAAACCAATAAGCTTCAACTGTAAAAGTATTTCAGATCCTCTGTAATACAAACCATTACATTTCTTTAAAAATAGTTTCTATAAAATTAACTAGAAATTCACCTTAAAATGGAAAAGTAGTGAATAACCAATAATTCAGATATGTGGATCAACAACAGCATCTACACATTGTTTTTAACACGATGCAAACACCCATAATCCTCCATGGATCAGGGACTACATATTTATTAAGCTTATAAAGCGTTGCATCTTACAGAATTGGCTTAAGAATACACTGGTAGAAGGAACTATCATAGGAAAAATTCTGGATAACAGCCAGCTTTCTCTGGGACAGGAGGGAAATAGAAGTTTTATAGTGACAGTGAAGATTTAAAACTGATAACAGCACTCTGGATGCACTGAGTGATAAAGGAGACTTACTGCCGACCTTGACTTTAAGCCCACTGATGGAGGAACAGAGCTACGACAACATTTCATTATGGCTCGCCTCTTCCAAACACTCAGCAGTGCTTTTCAACTACTAACAAGTGTCATAGGCACCAAATGGCCCAAAAGAACTCTTTTACCCCTTCTGAAGAACTGCAGGAGTTCACTAAGTTCCATGCCTGTAGCTCTACACTACTGCAAGCCCCGAGTTTTCCCCAGAATTCTCTCCTCTTACGCACCACAGTAGGATGGAATGTTCAAGCAACAAAACTAATCCAGAAAAAGTCAATTATTTTCTGTCACTTGAGGTCTCCAAACCAGCTTAGGAAATGCCAGATCAGACAAGTACCAGCAACAGAAATGCTGAACTGGGAGCTGCTGCCAATTCATATTTGTTCCAAGTATTGTGTAACTACACCTTAAGCAGCATCGACTTAATCATTAATGAGCTCTGAAAAAGCATCCTAAATCATTGTATTGAACCACAAGGCAGAAGTCCTCCCCAGAAGGTAAAAAAGCTTCAGTAAAAAAGTTGGTTCTACATCAAGGAACTTCAGGGAGTAAAACTAAACACAACTGGTGCAAATTCATAAAGTTGTTTACAACAGCTCCACTTCAACACACAAGGTTTTAGGGCACAGACACAAAGCACGTGGCCAGGACATAGCTCCCTCCATGCACTGCCTCCCACCTTCAGCACATCCCTCAGCCAGGAGCACCACAAGGTGCTCGCACCCCGTGCTCAGCAGCCTCAGGGCTTCTGTGGCCTTGAAAAGCAGCAAACTCACAGAAGCAGCCCTGGAACATGAGCATTCTGCTTCTCAGAAACAAGAGCCTTGAGCCCTCCCAGATTCCACTCTACAGAGGACCTGAGAGCATTCCTTAGACCAGGATGACTTTAAGCTGAAGGCTGCTTACAATACAGCGGATTCCAAAATAGATATTTTGGGCTGAGAGCATTTTACCTCAGAGTATGATTGCATTTATACAAATTCTATGTACACTCTCTCACTTCTCAGAAGTGAGGAATACAGTATTCAGTGTCCCAAAACACAAAAGCACCTTAAGATATAGCCTCCACCACTAAATATGGCACAACAAAGAAGGGACAATACTTCTACCTAATTTGCACAGTAGTGACTCTTACCTCTCCAAGTAAGCTGCATGGCTTGTTTGCTGTCAGTATGAAAAGACTTTTAGATTCATGATACAGCTTTGGGATAACAAACCATTACATCCAGCTCCTAACAATTTGAATGCCAAAAATGTTCACAATACACAAGTGTAAATGTCTTGTCCAGATTGCTCATTGTAAATTACATCACAAGAATAAAGCTGAATGCTTCCTATTAAAGGCTTAACAAAATTACAAGATGTATTAAACATTTTATTTGAGCTACTTAAGGCTTTGTACTATGTAAATGTGTAATATTTTAGTAGGACTAAGTTAGTTCAGTAAACTTTTTTGCTACTAAGACACCTGCACCCTACAGCAGGATAGGTTTTATTTGAGAAAAACTTAAATATTCCTGGGTTTTTAATTTGACCATGTTTACAGGATTTTCTTCAGAAGGTAAGACCAAATAGGTAAAGCCATCATAAGCAATTCACTGCTAAAGAACTAAACTCACTACTTGAAAATAAGATCATTAAGAAAAAGAAATTATGCAGTCCAGAGAAAGTTGAAGAACCCTATCATGTTATTTTACAGAGTGTAGGCACCAAATGTTGGTTTTCCTGATGATTAAATACATACTTAATAACGCTGGTCGCAAAGCACTAATGCTCCACAAGCTGAATCCTAATGTTCGAAACAAACAAATCCACTGCAACACCCAGTCCTTTGCAAGTTTCTAAACTCTGGCCAGACAAGTCCCAGAAAAACAGTCTTTATTCTGCCTCACAACCAGCTAGACCTGGACTCTGACCTTTCATTGATAATCAAATCACAGCTGCTTTAAAATAAGCAATCAAACAAATCAACTCATTGACTGAGCATCAAGAGAAAGAGCTATAATCTGGTGTGCCCTGATCCACCCTCTGACAGCACAATACCACCACCACCAGTGCTGTCCCCCAGAACTAAAAGCTGGGTCCCACACATAGGAAGATTTTGCAAAAGAGACAGAAGGAAGGGGAAAGAAAAGAGCAGCAGTGTATCCACAGGTTGGCTAATAAACTGCAACCTACCAAGGGCATGTCTGCAACACACAGCAAACCTAAGGTAACATCCCTTCCTTCAAAGAGCCATTCACTGGGATACTTGACTTTGTGGGCAAAGTGAGAGCACAGGGGAATGCACTAGTGCTGCAGATTCATGCAGTAGCTCTTCCTTGTTGTACCTCTGTGACAAAGCCAAAACTAAACAAGGAGTTATTTCTGCTTATTACATGATACAATGCACAACTTCCATCCTACAGAGAGAGTTGTCCATCCATTGTAACAAAAGATTATCTCTACATTTGCAAAGTGGTTCTTCTTTCTATACAGAACCAAAACTGAACAAAGTCTTGATTTGTGATTCTACTGTGAATCAACCAAAACTGAACAAAGTCTTGATTTGTGGATTTGCAGGTGTGGGGGTTTTTGGTGAATTCTTCCCCCCCCCTTTTCAAACATGCAAGCTGCACTAAAACATTCATATTAATCAGTTAAAGTAAGGAGAACTAACTAAAGTTCAAAACTAAGAACTCTATGAAGCAATACAGAGCCTTATCCTTTTTGAAGCACTTAATACAATATTATGGTTTTGAAAAGTCTGCAAAAGTAGCCTTCCACTGTGTTTTAGAAGTAAAACCCAGAACTTCCTGAAAAGCTAAATGCCTTGAAATAAATTTGCTTGGGGCTCCAGTCAAAGTTGAGTTAAGGAAGTTGAAGTTTGCAGTTAAAAGTTCTATAGCCAATTAGTAATTTCAAATATTAAATGATGAATTTCCAACAGGAGTATGCTGTTGGACCATTATTTCCCACTCACCTAAAAGCTTGAAAACACCATGGGCTTAACATTCTAATTAGGTCCACACTTTAAAACATCACCTCACAAATGACAGACATAAGTTACAGCATCAGATATATCTTACAAAAGATATTCTGAACCTTTCTCCTGCAGACCTGTCTTTAATACATATTTGCACTTTTGTAGTTCCTAAATTCTCTGTGACTCACCTTCAGGTAAGCTTTAGATCAGCAAATTCACATGAAGGCTGTGTGGGTATCCTGGCAGCAACGGTAGTTTAAGTGATATTTGCTCTCAGCAGCCCTTTCCTGTTCATACTCTGTGGCTGAGCAGACACACAGACAACTACAATGGTACAAGTGAATGCCTGAAGCAGAGATTGCTCATCTGGCTGATGAGGAAATCAAACTTTGTTGAATTATACAAGCAGAAGATGAAGGAAGACCAAAAGCCAGCCGTACTGGAATTCAGAATGTGGGTATGCAATCTGCATTTGCCTACTGGGAGATCCTGGCAAGCACTTACTTCTCTATTCTTCTGTAACAGATCAGAGTTACACTCAGCACAAGTCAAGCAGAGCCATGTGGAATCACCTCTCCATCAGTTATGCTGGGCAGCTTTGCAAACAGCCAGCTTTAGGAAGAGAGGAGGCTGAAGAGCGTAGCCATCCAGTAGGCTTTAATAAAAACACCTAAGTACAAAACTCTTTCATTTTCAGTTATTTGATCTTTAGCTGAACTAAGGAGAAGGAAGTACCATCAAACAGTTAAAATATATTCCATGTATATGTTAGTTTTCTTCCAAAAAAAACCCTCAACTGAAGCAACAGAGCATTGTAAACAGAGGATTAACTCTGAACAAACATGTTTATTGGGGCTACTGGGACTTTCTAGAGAAAAGCCTGCAAAAGTTTCTAACTAGCTTTTATCTTACCTTACACATAGTTGTAGTGGAAGTCAAGTTCTAGATACATATTAAAGCTTCCACAGCAATCCAGGAGTCACAAATTGAGAAAGACATGTTTGTATTCTGTATGGGTTTGTGGCTTTCCTTGATGCAAAGGGCAGAGTCTACAATCATTCATCTCCTCGATGGGAAGTCAAAATTCCAGCTCAGACACATTGAAGTGATATGCATGGGCAACCTAAGATCATATTTATTATTACTGCAGTG